GTCTAAGACTGCCATGACAAAAACATATGACACACTCTAAACTTCTCAATATTGCAAATCTCATGAAAACATAGGCCTATGCTTTAATTATCATTCCACTTGCTGTCTTTTGATATCAATAAATTATTCAGAATTTACTGGCTCTTCCTAATTCTTCTTTTCCATCTTTTTCCTTTCTAAAATACATACAGTCAGAAAGTCTTCCAGTTTTGTAGACATTCACACAAAGACTAAGTGTATATAATTACACAGACAACTGAGAGGACACACAGCATTTTACAAAAATAATTTCAGTTTTAAGAAGCATTTTCTTAACATTTTATAGTAATATTGCACCAACTACTGATGAACACATACATTTTTATGTGAATTATCACTCACTGGGTTATTTAATGATGTTTTACTCTATCTTTGAAAAATGAAATGAAAAAAAAAAATCACATTCTTTATGTACGTGTGTCACGATCGCTGCCGGAAGGAACACGGAGCCGTGGATAATCGAAATAGTCTTTAATAAATCCAAAAACACAGGGTATATCCACACAGGGAACTGGAGAAGACACACGAACACAACATAGTAGACCCGACAAAGAAACATGAGGCAGACTACACATTATATACTAGACTTGACAAGGGATAGACATGTGCGGGGAATCAACTAATAATCAAACTAACCGAGACAGGAACATGACCAAATAAGGACAAACAGGACAGCCATGACAGTGACCCACGGTGGAGCCGACGGAGAGAGGAGCCATGGAGGAGGAATGGCCGCCGACTCCAGGGGGCCGACCAACGGCGGCGGAGCAGGTGGCGGAGGAGCCCGAGGCGGAGACGGAGAGCTGAAAAGCCAGGGCAACGGGGAGGATCCGGAGGGCCAAGGCGGAACAGATGGTGCCTGCGACTGATGCAGAGGCGTGGATCCGAAAGGCAGCGGTGGAGCCAGAGCAACAGAGGACTGAGGAGGAGCCGAATGGATGAAGGAGCCTGACGGAGCCAGAGGGACGAGGCGCAGGATGGTCGACGCCAGACCAAGGCGGAGCCGGAGGGACGAGGGAGCCCGGTGGAGCCAGTGGACTATTCTCAGACGAAACAGTCAATCAGTCGATACAAGCGCTCTCTGCCGCTTGACTGTCAAAAGCTTGACTGCAGAATCCAGGAATAGCTTTTGTTTTCAACTATTGATGCCTAATTTAGGTATTTTATTAAGGCCTAACTCAGGTGTTAGTATTTTATAGACACCTGGATGCTGAAACTGCATTGTATATTCCAATTTAAAAATGAATAATAAAAATAGGTTTTAGGTAACTGAGTGTGGTAAATTTAAACATCATATCATACATCTTAAAGACACATTTCATGTACTCCAGCCAAATTGTTAGTAATTTCAGCAAATGCTAAAAGCTGTTAACTGTAAGTAGAAACAATAAATTTTACATGTACTCTACTGAAATTAATTATATTTTGAAAATTATGTTCTTAATAAGAATTTATAAAGAATAATAAAACAATTCTGTACATTGCTGTACAAAACCGGCATCCCATAACATTCATTTTTTTACAAATATAAATTATGACTTACCTTATATGTTAAAATAATAAAACGGCGCTGTACAAAATTGTCATTTTGAAATAGAGATAAATAAATAAATACAAATTCAGGTGTTTTTCTGGAAACTGCAGCAAGTTTTAACAGTAAATGTAGCAACAATTTAGTTTAAACATAAATTATGAAATAACTTATAATTTGTTGAAAATGTATGATTTAACAATACATATTCTTTCATTGAAAAATGTTGTTCAAATATGTTTTAATAAGTATAAAGAATATCAAAATACCATCCTGTAATGCCTGAAATATCACTATTGTATTTTACAGGAAATCTGTCAAAGACAGCTGGCAGTTTTTAATAACCTTTAAAGAGATGTATTTAAAAATGGACAACATTTAAGGAAATCAAGCAAATCCGCTCTTGATAAAAGTCACGCATGACTAAAAATAAATCTTTAGGTGCGGAACTAAAGTGCTGAATGTGATTTTTGTCCTCTCTGAATATGACACACATGATCAGCTCATATATTCCCAGCAGACGCTGCTCTCTCAGCACTCATCTCAGGTGTGAATAGAGATGCATTTTAATAATGAACAATGAATAGACTGAATTACTCCAGTTATTCAGGGGGGTTTACATATTGTGAGCTTTGAACAAAGCATCTGATTTAAATTCAGAGGTCAAAAGGAAGTTAAAGAGATAAACCCCATACCTCTCAACACATCAGTGCTTCATGGATGCAACTATTATGCAATACTAAAGAACTGTCTGACGGAATGCATCATAAATCCATTACATATGCATTCTATAACATATAGATTGAATCCTTTTTGTAGGCTATTATGCATTTAAAATCCGTACAATACACCTTTGCCAGCTGCATGTTATTGCAGCTAAATAATAACCACGTCGTAACCAGTCCAAAATACACTGTAAAGCAGAAAAAGATGCATAACATATGAATAACACGAGTGTCCTCTGTTATCATGTATTTTGATGCAGCAATCATAATGAACAATCAGTGCATTATATATGCATACAGACTTCGTGAAACGTGATGACATTTCTGAATGATTAATCTAGTGTATAGCCTATTAAAAATCACTCAAATGACATGACTGACGCATATATGATTTTTATTAATATCAGCACGAGATGATTATTTTGCAATCAAACGCTGCAAAATGTATCAATCAAACACTAATAATGCACTTTAGAAATGCAGAGCCTTGCAAGAACGGACATAAAAAGTAATTCAAAAAGGAATGCATTATGAAAAATGCTGATACAGCCCTCAGATTATCATTGCGTTTGAACCTGCACGCGCTGAAGAGTGTTTGGCATCACAGAAGCGCGTCACTCACCTGCACGACACGGTGATCTCAACTTTCGTGGCGGGAATCACCGCCCCGAGCGGCTCCGAA